CTTGCCGCCCCGTTGAACCAAAGACGTCATCACCATTCATACCCGTGCCGTGCATCACGCACTGTACGTACCGTGCGTACGCAACCACTCGGGATGTGGATGAAAGGGGGTTGCGGTAAAGGCGAGGGCGGCAGCGGCCCTCTCCAGCGGTTCAGTTGGCGGTTATTTCTAAGAGAAACGGTTCAGCAGACCGGGTATTTCCGTCACAGTTTGCAGCTGGCTGTTTTTCGATTTGGTGGTGAAAGGACTATTTCGGGTTATGAAGGTCATCACAGGTCCGACTAGCTGGATAGTTTGTCCCTGAAAATGTTGAGACACCGCGAGTACCCAAGGCACCTCTGAAATGAGGCTGCGTGATCCCGAAACACACCACGGTGTGACCTGAGTTTGACCTCTTCTTTTGCCCGCTATCTCAGCCGACATACCGCTACGGGTTGGCGGTGGACAGCCGTGTTGACAGTCCATTGACAGCCTGTCACTAGTGTCACCGTCTGTCAATGCGTCTCACGGCGGAGGTACGCAAAAAAGGCGCTTCAGAGTCGACGCGCGCAGCTTCCGAACGCGGCACCGCCGGTCGACGTCAGGTGTCGCCACATCACACGCGGCTGATGTCAGACATCACTATAGGTATCATAGCGATGTCTCGATTACAGCATTTCATCCACCAGGCACCATCCACTGAAATGCTTAAAATTAACTAAGGATATGCGGCCGATCATACGATGCCTCAGACGCACAGTTGTTCGGCAAGTAAGATACACAAATACACACAGTTACTCAGATACTGGATGAGCCATACAGCCATTTTCACCCAGTGGGCCAGTTACAGCCAGTTACCTATAGTGGACGCGTGCCTATCTGGTAACCACCAGGAAGGACAACGGCGGCCAGGCTCGATATAGCCCTCTCTCGCTCTACATCAGCTCCGGATCCAAATAAAGACCTCAGCGCTGTCGGATGAATATGATAATATGATGGCCTGCCGATTACATTACACTCTACCAGCCTCGGCGGCTCCTGTAGGCTGTTCAGACGCCTGAATAGTCTGTCGCCGCTGATCGTGGGGTCATCAAACCTGCCTATGACTACGAACTATGACTATCAGAGCGACGGGGAGGAGCCGGGGACCCCTGTCGGCGGTCGGCGGCGGCGTCGCGCGGCATCACTCACAGTCCTGCAACAATGCACGAGCGGCGCCCGGCCGCCGGCGGCGGCATTGAAGCGACGTTGGCTGATGGTCACTCCAAGCACGCCGCATAGATGACGGACCGGCCGGGTCTGACGCGGACCGACAAATCGACCCATGAATCGGCCCGTCTCTCATCCCCGGTCGGCCGGTTAGCCGGGGCCGGGGCGGTGTTTCACGGGACGCTGCTACCACGCTGCTATCAAATTGCGCGAGCTGACGTCACACTTGTGGTAGTGTTGGAGCAATGGGCCTGTTGATGTTTCCATGGAAACCCAATTTGACACGTGTAAAAGCAGCGTGCTGCTATCACCGGTGAAACAGGGCCCCGCACTCCCAGGACGGAGGGCTGCCAGATGGGGACGGGGAGCTGCCAGATGGGACCGAGGAGCTACCATATGGAACAGGGAAATCAGATGTGTCTGATAGTTGTCGCCAGTTTGGAAATGGAAAGCCAGATGTGAAATGCAAGACAACAGATGGAAGAGGAAGCTCCAAACTGCCAAGCGGCATCTGAAGACTGTCCTATGATGATGGGAAGCACCAGGTGGCCTTCGGAGTGGCACGGCGCTTGTACATACTTCTATTCTATTATCACTTTTTGTAGATCTAATTGCATAGAGCAATTACGTAGAGGTCATAAGGCCGGCGTTCCATTCGATACTCTGCCACATTGATCCAGTGACCAGTCGTTAGTCATATATGTCGACCATAGACAACTGGCAGGGCTAAAAGTGGCACACGAGGAGAGTTTTAGCGGCGAACAATGTGACACTAATCTGCATAAATGAACTAAACGCTGCATAAGGACCCAGCGATGACGTTCATCTGTATGCTAGGCGATCGTCAAATAAGCTACTGTGCTGTGTGCTGTTGGGCCTGGGTCGAAATTTTTGATTACATTCTGTGTATAATTGTGGCCAAAGGTCACTCTGCCCGTGTGATGTGGGCTGTGATCGATTGTGGCTGTTTTGTGTGTTGTGCTCGAAAGTTGTGCTATGCTAATTCATATGAAACTGTTGTTGCTTGTCGGACGTCGGTCGCTGTGCTTTGTTGCTGAGTTGGTTCTGCGATGTGGTGTCATTTTTGTTGTTGATGTGCTGTAACTATTGCTGGGAGCGGCCATCTGTGCGCTATTGTACCACTTGTTAGTTGTTGTGGTCGTTGGTCGATGTGCTGTGTCTTGTTATCGGTCGATGTGTAGTGCGCTCTGGTTGCTGGTCGTTGTGCTGCGTGTATCTCGTCGTCCACGTCATCGAACGCTGATTGTGGTTTCTGGTAGCTGTGCTGTGCTGAGCTATGGTGTCTGCTCGCTGTGCTGAGCTGTGTTGTGATCTCTGGCCACTGCGCTGAGCTGTGTTCTGGTGTCTGGTCGCTGTGCTGAGCTGTGTTGTGGTGGCTGGGAGCCAACTTAGCTGTGTTATGGTGTCTGGTCGCTGTGCTGAGCTGTGTTGTGGTCTCTGGTAGCTGTGCTGAGCTGTGTTCTGGTGTCTGGTCGCTGTGCTGAGATGTGTTATGGTGTCTGGTAGCTGTGCTAAGCTGTGTTCAGGCATCTGGTAGGTGTGCTGAGCTGTGTTATGGTCTCTGGTAGCTGTGATGAGCTGTGTTATGTTATCTGGCTACTGCGTTGAGCTGTGTTATGGTCACTGGTATCTATGTTGTGCTGTGTTATGGTGTCTGGGCGCTGTTCTGAGCTGTGTTATGGTCTCTAGTGACTGTGCTGAGCTGTGTGCCGCGCTCTTGGTTATTGTGTTGCTCAGTGCTGCTCTGTTGTTGTACCGCCGCCGGCCACGATCGACCGGCACCGCCGCCGGGTGGCTGGGAGCGGGCTCATCGCCGGCAGACAGGTGAACGACTTCAGTGCCCCGTTCATCAGGTGCCGTCACAGCTAAGTACTTTTCGGAACCGGCACCGGCTTTCAGCGAACTGGCTCCGTTCCGAAGCACCCTGCATCGACCCGGCTCGGCATTAAACCGGGCCAAGACGTAACTCAAATGGGTGACGCTATTTCGGGGTTCACCGTCCCAGAGTGGCCGATTGACCTGTCAGCTCCTCAGCGGGTGGCCAATGGACCTGGGGGTCCTTCACGGTGACCTCACGGTGACCTCTGAAGCCTCACAGGGCTACCAGTGGAGGTCCATGACGTCACTGAGACGGACCAATAAGTCTGTGTCTACCCCACGTTTTGACCAATGGATCGGTGACTACCTCACGTATTGACCTTTGGATCGGTGACTACCTCACGTATTGACCAATGGATCGGCGACTACCTCACGTATTGACCAATGGATCGGCGACTACCTCACGTATTGACCAATGGATCGGCGACTACCTCACGTATTGACCAATGGATCGGTGACTACCTCACCTCACGTATTGACCAATGGATCGGTGACTACCTCACGTATTGACCAAGGGCTAGATCAGGGCAAATCAGTTTTTTACCGAAATGTCTGTAGCTACCTTACCTACGTGTTGACCAATACAGACCAATGTTGACCAATGTAGACCTGCTATTTCTGGGAGAATGGAGATGTGAACTGTTGGAGAGATCACCCAATCGGTGACCATATCACGTGGACCTATGACCATATATGGACCTGTGCATCCCTAAAAGTGACCTCAGTTGACCTGGGAAATAATCACCATATTTAACGGCCAACACATTTGCAACTTCAAGACGTGATCGCTGACCAGTGAAACTGCGACTACCTCTAACCTCCCTCATCGACCCATAACTATGACTGCGATGCCCATGATATGAACAATACATTGCCAGTCCCTTTCAAGCAATAAACAACACTGTAGCAGCTTTCCGGAGCACCAAAGCATGTTTGCTACCATCACCGATCTCCCATTGGATCTATGCTTTCTCCCCAGCATCAAGCTAGTTACCCAGCCTTCGCGGAGTGATCCAATGTTCTGTGACCACCTTACTAAGCACCTAATTGGTTTGAAGGCCAATTGCAATGAAGGCCAGGTCACCTAATGACCGGCAAATTTGTGTGACCTCCTTACGGAGGAAGTCCCACACGGAGGAAGCAGTGGATCTGTGACCACCTCAAGCAATGACCAACGGATTTCTGGTCTTATCAAGATTCAATATCAACAACACCCTGTACCCAAAGTGCCGAAATAACCAACAGATCATCGTCCCCACTGAGGAATGAGGATCCAATGTCCTTTGGGATCCACATACCTAATGACCATTGCCCACTGACCAATCACAGCATACTGATACGAGTGTCTGTTTATCAACATAACGCTAGAAACCATAACAAGACGACCTAATCGAACGAGAATCAGCTGCCGAGAGTTGAGATAACGCTATAACTGCCACAGTCATTATTAGCTCACCTTTCTGGATGGTTTAACAATTTCACTGCCGGCTAGGTCAGCTAAGGTCACACCATGCTCTGTACGTACATGTTAGGACGACAGTCATAGAACGACGCCACTACAGCCTCACGGGACGAGTTCGCTGGGGCGGACGGACGGGTTACTTTGGGCGGGGCTGGCGGCGGGCCGGCATTCACGGGCCGCGGTAGACACAGCGGCACCGGCCGGCCGAGCGGCGGTGGCGGCGGACCACGAGATTATAGAACCTGGTCCAGGACACAAAGACAAGGCCAATGAGACCATGGGTCCATTGGTACGGGACAATGAGACCAAGTGACCCATTAAAGATGCTGCAAACATCACAAAGACCACGAGACTACGCGACCATATCATCACACAACGACGGGATCTTGAGAACACAGAACCACTGGACCACATGCTGCATGGCCACGAGACCACCGACAAGCAGACTCACCTGGAGCATAGCGTCCGGGAAAGACTCTCCCGTGGCGGGACATGAGCCACGGGTAGAGCGGCATCTCGGAGGGCGCCGGTGGAGCGGCCGGCGGGTGAGAGAGCAGGCCGGGCAGGCCTGCCGGCACGCCGCCGCCGGCCCGGCTCAGCGCTAGTTCCCCTCGTAGCTGCGCCAGCTTCATGTAGCGCGGGTCGGCGAGTGGCAGCCGCGCCAGCGGCGCCAGCGGCCCGAAGGCGCCCAGCGGGCCGCCGCCCAGGCCGTGCGCCAGTAACCGCTCGTGCAGGGCGCGCTCGTGCGCCAGCCGCTGCTGCAGCATGTCCGTGTCGGGCGCCAGGTCAAACGCTGTCTCTGGCGCCTCGGCCACCTGGGCCGGCTGAGAGTCACGCCGCTCCCGGGGCGGAGAGCGTTCCTTTCTGCGCGGCTCCGGGCTGGCCGGCGCCGGGCCCGGACTGGCCGACTGGCCGCCGGCGCGGGCCGAGTCGGCGCCCTCACCCACCAGAGAGTCGATCGAGAAGCCCAGCTTGGGCCGCGGAGCCGGCACGCCAGGGCCGGACGCGACGGGCATCATGCTACAGCGCACCATACGCGGGCCGCGCGCGCCGCCGCCTTCACTGCACTGCCGCCGCCGCCAGCACTGCCTGCGCGGAGCTCTGCCGCCGACAGCGGCCCGAGCGGCTCTGCGGGGCCGGCGCCGGCCGCCAGCGCCGCCCGGCGGCCGCGCGCCGTACCAGCACGCCCCGCCCCCCGGACGACGAGTCGCCGCTCCAGCGGCCATGATAGCCAGTCGAGCGCAGCCATTGGCGGAGCCGGCCAGTGTCGTCCCTAACAGGCCTGTAATGGGGCGCGCTGATTGGTGCGTGTCAAAGAGCGGAATAATGTCATCCACAATGCCTTATTACCAGCTATTCTATGCACTTCAAGTATCCGCGCCCGACGACAAACCACTAATGAGCTTAACGAATTATTTAATTAGGGATATCAAAGACCTAAAAAGCGGCCGTGGCTGCGCAGCCGGGATGGACAGTGGCTTTCCGGGCGTCAAAGCACGATGACAAAGTCTCTGGTGGCTAACAGGTGGCTGTCAGGCCGACAGCCGCCGCCACGCAAATAAGTCGTGTTTTTCTGGCTGTGTCTGATGCGGGCGACTGTCACAATAGGTCGCTGTTCAGTGCGCACCGCATAGGAATGGAAAACGGCCGTCTCTCCTGCGAAATTGGACTCACAGCTGCTATTTTAGCGTGAATGAATAGGTGGAAATATGTTACCACAATTGCTTCTCGGGTGTTATCACCAGTAACAGATATTAGATGTCAGTTACGACAGATATACTCCAATCTAACAGGAAGGCTAACAAGCATCATTCATTATCGCGAAAGCGGCTCGTCGTTTAAAAATTAGCCATACATTGAACACATACAAACAAGGTGGTTTTAGTGGCTACATGTAATATCTTGCGGATTTGATAAGAGACATGTCTCAAACTGTTACCAGAGACACCAACATCGGAGGGTAACAAGCATGCAAGCCACAAAGACCGAATTACTGAGGTGTTCCCTGGTCAAAGATTGACGTTTATATCACGCTTTGCAGGAATACATGTAAACAGATACAAACAGACCTCCGAAATAAAACCCTCACATCAGTTACAGATCAAAATATTGATATGTTGTTGTGAACAGAGCTTTCAATGCTCAGTGTTAAACAGGGTTTGGCTCTGTTGAAACAGAGCATGTCTTTTTATCATTTTTCCTCTCGATCAGCAGCGACAAAGACGTTAATTTGCTACGTAAGCGTATGAACAATATGCCGTCTGCAATGATACGTGTGTGTACCAAGACAAATGATAAGACGCAGTCTTGTAACTTCGATTTTGTGGGCGTATTTCATCCTCTAATAGGCTTATTGCATTATGGCGGCACTAATTTCATCGAGAGAGCATTGCACGCTATTTTAGGCATCGAGGTGCCAGTCGAATGTCGATTGCATATTTATATTGAATTTCTTTGCAGCATGACGAAAAACATAATCAGTAAGTTAGAGTGTTACATAAAGGCTGAAGTCGTCCAAATATCCACTTATTTTACATTTTCCATTGCATCGGTTTTCGAGTATGTTTGTCTGTTGACTGGCTTTTTCAAAGTGCAGTGCACCATAGAGGCGGATCCAGAAAAGTTACAGGCCGAGACCCACTGCAAGATCATTTTGCACAATGGCGTATCCAAGGAAAGGCATTTGGGTAAAATGCCCCACCTCCACCCCTTATCCACCCGCAGCGCCCGAAATCGACGAAGATTTGCGAATTTTCGGGAATAAACCGAAAACTAAACAACTTTTAAAATGAAAAGTTTGTTTTAAACTGCACAGGACTGCGTAGAAAATCGAAATCCGATGAGTTTTTTTTTTTTTTTTGAATTTGGAGACACATTTTTAGTGGTAAGCATGCTCCTACCACCCCCTCCCCAGCATCCAAGACTGCCTTTTTGAATCCGCCAGCGATTTTGCACGACAAAAATACTACAGATCCATGACAGAAATAATTGTTTTTGTGCAGCTTGGTCACTTCATTGACCATGCCAATATGGAAAAATTACATATTGCAAACACATAACCGATGCGTCACTTAAATAAGAAAAACTGGTCGCGGCCACCCTGAAGTCGTAAAATATGAATGTCAAAATACTGATGGAGGGAAGAGCACTAGCCCTCGCCAGGCCAGGGCCGAGGTGGTGCAACTTTCCCTAAGGCTTTTCGTAAAAAGCAAAAAAAAAAAACAGCGACGGCACATAGCACCGACTAATATGACGTACCCATTCTATAAAGCATCCTTTTGGCACATTTCCTGAAAATTCCAAGTCCCAGTCTTTCCAGTTAAGGTCACCAGTTCACAAAAAAAAAAAACAGTAGCGGCGGAACACCTTCAATTAAGGGGGCACTGCCGAATTTTGGTCCCATTCTTTCCATGGAACGCCCATAGGGCTAATGTTAAAATGCCAAAATCAAAGGGGGCACGGTGCCCCGGTGCCCTCCCCGTTCCGCCGCCTACGAAAAAATAACTGTACAGTGTCAGGGTAAATTCGAATTATTTATGAGAATGTGAATAATTAAGTTTTTTTTCGCAGATAACGCAAAACGGTGGGACGTAGCACCAATAACTTTTCAAAACACTGTGGAACCTCTTTTTAACACATATCCTGAAAATTGCAAGTATAAATGACTTCAGGTCAGGTCAACAGATCACGGAAACCGGTACCTACATTGTCAAAATAGCACCAAAATCAGCCTTATTTTGTTGTAAAATCTAGAGTTCTACATCAATTTCATTCAAGCTTTCAGGTTGTGCTAACCTCACCAAGCGTCCAAGCGACATGTGTTCCGGTTTCTGTATTTCGTTGACCTGAGGTCATCTAAGGTCATGATATAGCTCTGAAAGGGAGGGAAAACTTTCAAATAGCCTTAGATGTGAAAACTACAGAGACTCCCCTCTGTTTCATCATATGTGTGTTGCAATATCTCCACCTCACCCCCCCCCCCCAACCAACCACCCCCACTAACCAAAGAGTCGCACAACGACTGTCAAGGTAGACTTGACTTCCTCCCCTTGGCGATCGGCCCTTATGGCACTATAAACACCAAATTTCCAAAGCAGGTGGACCCAAATAATATTTTTACCCGGCACAATTTTAGTGATTCTATATCAATATTAAAGATGGGGATTAAGAAAAGGGGGTTTATTGGTTGCAAATGTAACAAGTTTCTGCAACTCGTCATTTTTTTTTTTTTTGGCTGAAGCCTGCCGTTCTACAAAGGAAAGGTAGAGCAAAATAAATTCACTGGTGTTTTCTCGAAGGAGGGAATATTCGCGCTCGTTCTTACCTGCCTGGGATCCAGGCGACAACATACTCCAGGCTTCCACAAAAGTTTTAAGAAATTCCGTGCTAATCGTTTTGTCCAGATTATGGGAAGATGAATGATATAAAGAGCACCTTATCTCTTCTGCATTCAAGCACCGGACAAATAGCAAAAGGACATAGACAAGTTTTAAGGACAGAGCGACCTTCACGCGACTATTAGGTAGTTAGTTGCGCTTGTGCTTGAGAATCATACTGAAATGTGAATACTAATTGGTCTTAAATACTAAAGTCGAATACTAAAGAAGGAATACTTCGCTGATCTTTTGTGCTTTGCTATAATTTGAAATGAAGTTCGATGATAACATACAATTCCAGATCATTAGTAAAGTTCTTGATTGCGATTCTTGCCAATATTTAATAGTTCTGAGCGCGTTTTCAGCTGCTTTCCGGCACACATGTCGGCTGTCGCACCAGCTAGTCGTCCAAAACGCTGATATTCTCGCATGGTTTTGTCCTTCCAAAATGCCATGCACTTATGTTGTGGATGATCATCATGTTGTACCTATCCTTGTCGACAGTTTGTCATGTTTCAGTTTCGACATTATCATTCTAATTACTTCTAAAACGGAGAGTTTCACAACCGGCATTTTGCGACATCCATTTTCATGCTTGACCTTAAAGGGACAGTATCATCGAAAAAAAAAAATCAATGTATGTAGCTGATTTTTTTTTTACTAGCATTTCTTATTTTTCTGAATCAGAAAAACATAGTTTGAGGACCGAACTCCGTGAAAAATATTGCAACCACATTTCATTTTCATGATTCATTTTCATGAGCGAACCACCACTATACAAGCATGGCCGCCAGTTTGGAAGCATGCAAAATTACTACAGAACTGGCGCAGATAATACATTATTGACGCTACGCTTACGCGGTCGTTCTTCTGATTGAGTTGTCCTTAGGGAGAGGTAGCCTTAGGTTTGCCTATAAAAATATCACGTGACAATTGGAGGGAGTGACAATTGGACGTGACAATTGACAATGGGAGAAAATATCATGTGACAATCACGTGATAAACGTCATACATTGGAGGGAGATTGTGATTCAAGCTGGAGGAATTCCTTTGTTGAGCCGCTAGAATCCGAAGGAAACAGCGGAAATTGCCTACGACTATTTAATGAATTTAACGGTGATGAATAAGTGCGAAAAACGTTTTGGCTTTATAAAATTTGATGAAATGACCAGGGTAAAAGTTTTATTACTGGCGGTCAATTCAAAATGGCGCAAACATTTAAACAGTGAAGATAGTGAAGCACGATTCAAAGTGTAGTACACCTTTTGTACTTTGAGCGGCGATAGCGGGATAACGGTGTGGAGCTTCGAGGATCGGTCTTCAGTTCCCGGACCAGAAAGGTGGGGCCTATGCAATGTCAAATTTCATCAAAATGGTGATACTGTCCCTTTAATGGTCAGAGGTATTTTTTGTGAGCTCTTGAAGGGCGGAATGCATTTGGAAACAATAACATTGCTTGAGGATGGGTGTTATCAATGCCCATGCAAAATTTTGTCATTGAATTCCTTGTTGATTGAGAAATATTGACGAAAAAGCAAGGCTGGTACGTGTCAACAAACTTTTGAGACATCCTGTATATTTTCTAAAAGATTTCAAATTTTCAAATTTCGAGATAACAGTTTGATAGCTACGTGTATTCGAAGCCAACTCATGCAGAGAAATTGGATCTAGCTTTAAAACTGAGCTTTTGAGAGTGTTTGCCGTGGTTCAATGTTTTCATCAAAATTGGCCGCCATGACGTTACTCTGAC